CTGATGTCTATAACATGAATACTAGACAAAAATATAACTTCCACCTACCCTCATCAACTTTATCAGTATATCAAAAAGGAGTCTACTTTACTGGCATAAAAGTGTTCAACAATCTGCCACAAAGTATTAAAAACTTGGGCAATGATACTAAAAAGTTTAAATCAGAGTTAAAGAATTATCTACATGCTCATTCCTTCTACTCTTTAGATGAATACTTCAATGTAAATAGAGAATGATGTAAAATTAAGTTATATTAATTTTTAAGCTAAAATTGCCTGTACTTATGTATGTAACCTTTTGACTTGTTCTGTATCCAAAGGTACTAACCTACTTAGGATTTATAGAATGTAAATAAATTCAATTCAATAGCCACATTAACATTTTATGCAACAAGTGAGTGGGTTAATAATGTGCCTCACAAATGAGTGGAAATACACAAAGGTCACCATATTTATCATGTGATGGTAATATAGATCGCTGTGGTCGCAGTGCAAAGGGCAAGAAGGCCCCCTTATACACTATTCAAAATGCCATGATTCTGTTCTGACTTAGAAGTTTACTTTAACTACCAGATGACATGAGCATTACACCACAGAATTCTCCCATGTAACTGGAGATTTAAAAAATCCTGATACAATGAAGTACTTCAGAAATGCAAGAATTCTGACACTGATCAATTTGAAAGCACTGTAAGATAATTACTAAATGATAACATGAATGAGAATAACCTAGTAAGTGAATGTAAGTGGATCCTGTTTCACATATCTTCAAAATCAAATATAACCAGATTGATCACAGCATGACTTCTGTACTGATTTTTCACTCTGCTATCCTTGAATTCAATCAAAACAATCACAGCCAACTAACTGGTTAACGGATTAAGGCTAAAATTTCTGTTCTGAAAAGTGCAGAATGCATTCACCAGATGGCAATCAATCAAATATTATGGCACAAAGGGACACATGATGTTTTGGATGCCAAACAGCTATGCAGTCCCTTTGAAACAATATACCTATGTCCAAAAAGTATCCGACTTTATTTTTTTTCCACAGTAAGTAATGGCCAAAGGGGTGGGGAAACTGAGCATAGTGGTAGAAGGGACTTTCATGCGCGTGCGTGATTTTTTGCTGACTCGCAACAGTGCCTGATGTGTCTGTGGCTACCAGATAGCAAAGTGGTGTAACATGTGTTCGTTGCATTCTCGTTTCGCTCAAGATGACAGAACGCTTTGAGCAGCAATACTGCATGAAGTTTTGTCAGAAACTTGGGGATACCCAAACGGAAACAATTTGCAAAATTCAGCGGGCTTTCGGCGATGATGCAATGGGGATCACTCAAATTAAAGAGTGGTTCAACCGCTTTAAACATCGCTGTATGTCGGCGGACAGCGAGCAGCATTCCGGGAGACCGTCAATGCTGATGTCATTGAAAAAGTGCGGACACTGATCATGGAGGACCGTCGTTTGGCCATCCGTGAAGTTTCTGATGAGGTTGGGATCAGCAGAGGTTCCGCAAACACAAGTTCAACTGAGGATTTGGGCATGTGAAGAGTGGCAGCAAAATTTGTGCCCAAGGTGCTTTCACCGGAGCAGCACCAACTCCGTCTTGAGGTCACGAGTCGTGGGTGTATGGATATGACCTGGAAACCAAGGTCCAGGTGTCACAATGGAAGCATCCAACATCCTCGAGGCCCGAAAGAGCATGACAGGTTCGGAGCAACGTGAAGGTGATACTGGCTGTTTTTTTTTATTGCCGGGGTGTTGTGCATCATGAGTACGCTCACTAGGCCAGACTGTCAATAAGGAGTACTACCAAGAAGTCCTCCACCATCTTCGTGATGCAGTTCGGCGCAAGAGACCGGAGCTGTGGGACGCACGCAACTGGCAGCTGCATCATGACAACGCCCCAGCTCATTCATCACACCTGATCCAGGGTTTCCTGGCCAAGCACAGCATTCCACAGGTTCGCCAGGCTCCCTATTCTCCTGACATGGCTCCTTGTGATTTCTGGCTGTTCCCGAGATTGAAGACACCGCTAAAAGGCTGCCGTTTTGACAGCTGCAAGGACATCATACAGAATGTGACAGTGCAGCTGCACGCCATTCTAAAAGAAACCTTCCAGAATTGCTTCCAGTAATGAAATGACTGCTGGGCTAAATGTGTGAAGTCACAAGGGGCCTGCTTTGAAGGCGATTAGGTATTGTAACCACCCAGATACAGAACTTTTTTTCCTGGCCCAAGGTTGGATACTTCCTGGACAGAGTAGTATATTAAAACAGAATAATAACTCTGTCAATGATGCTAGGTTTAAAGAATCTTATCATGTTTTAGAAGCACATATGTATGAAATAAAATTAATTTTGGCAACTTAAGATTTATTTATTTTGATTTCCAAAATAAAAAATAAAATGTATTTACAAAAATATGAAATACTTGTTTTCCCACTAGTATATAATAGTGTCTTACATTTAAATTCTTAATGTAAGTAGAGAGAAAGCATTCTATCATTTTAAAGTTAACCACCGGAATCTCACTCGAAAAGTAACACAAATATCTTACACTCAACTGAAAATAAATACTACAAATCTACATAAAATCCTGAACTTCATTATATAGGACCATTAGTTCTTATGTTAAATTTTGCATCATGGTCATTAAAACAATGAACAGTCACTGAGATTGAAGGAAAAAACCCAATCCCCTTATCTTCAGATACATGCAGATACTAAAAATTAATCACTAAATCACAGTTAATATTACTGCATTTGGCAGCAAATAAAGTGTAACAGAGTTGCACTGTATAAGAGTTCCAATATTTAAAGCTGATATTAACAATACAACATTAAACTTCAGTTGTGCTATTTTACATGACAGTACTTAATGTTCATAGAGGGATGTTTTGTAACTGACATAATACTGCATATAAATGAATAACATCTATTTGTACAATATTAAGTGATCAACAATCTAGCATCATACCAAACAGACATATTCCCAACCACTTATTTAGAATACTCTGAATGCTACCACTGCTTCAGATATACCATGATCTGTTGTTGAGACACTGGATGGTGCTTGTTACATCAGTTTCTTCACTCAACCAGCACATTGTAGTGTCGATCATCTTCTGCGATAAGAAAAACTTTAGGCCAGTTACCTTCGTTCCAATCAGGATATGAGCATATAAAATCCTCAGTTCCAAAGGCCACAGGTCGTATGACTCGTAATGTCACTCCAAGCATGTATCCCAGAAGAAACATCTCTACCTGCAAATACATCATTCAAATTTCAGTCTCATATTAGACATACTCAAATTGAAGTAGAAATAATCACAGGACATAACGTATTCCTTTCCTATGCCCAAAGCTGCCATTGCATGCATACAGCATGTTCTGCCTTTCAGAAAACAGGGAAAAGTAAGTCACTTCATGTAGAATTGCACATCATCCCCCATTTCCTGGACAATTCCAATACATCATACAGCCAATGGATATTTACCTGCTAACATAATTCAGAAGACATTCATGAGTGCCAAGTTTTCTTTCTATGACAATATCAGAAAATGTGTGCATCTTGATTAATGTTATCTACTGTCTTGGGTTTTGCAGGATAGTCCCATTTCATTAATATAAATTACATTATAATCAGTTAATTGAAACTTCTATAACAGAATAAAAACTAACTGGAATATCATAAGAAACGCATTTCATTAAGTCTTAACAGATCCAATCTCATGCCTTCTTCATTTAAAATGGATAACATGAATTTTCAGTTTAAAGCTGCAGCTGATGTTTTCAATGAGTATTTTCTGAATATAGCAGATAATTTACAAACACATATTGATAATAGTAAGTCACCTCTTGGATCATTAAAGAATGCTTATCAGACTGTTTTTCTGAGTATGAAAGTAATTCTTGTAACTAAAGGAGAAATTATTAGTATAATTTGTTCCCTAAAATCATAGAAGTCTTCTGGCTATGATGGTATCACATCAAAAATATTAAAATTGTGTAGCATTGCTATAAATGAGCATTTTTCTTATATTTACAACATGTCTATTATGACTGGCGCATTTCCTTATCGTATGAAGTGTGCAGTCATGAAGCCTTTGTATAAAGCTGATGTAGCAAACTACAGACCTATTTCTATGTTGATTGTATTTAGTAAAGTTTTAGAAAACACTATGTATCATAGATTAAATCAGCATCTACAGGTAAATAATATATTGGTGCAGTAACAAGTTGGTTTTAGGTGAGACTTATCAACTGATCGTGCTGCTTTTTCACTTACCACTGACATACTTCAAGCCTGGAATGATAAAACTTCTAACTGCTTGGATATTTTGTGACCTTGCCAAGGCGTTTGATTGTGTTAATCTTGAGATATTTATATCCAAATTAGAGTATTATGGTGTTCAGAATTGTAATTTAAATTGGTTTAAATCCTATCTATTAGAAAACAGATAGTGCATCTCAGAATTGATGATGACCATGATTATTTCTCCAAATGGAAAGAGTTAAGCAAGAGGTTTCTCAGGGGTCGGTTTTAGGACCACTTCTGTTTATCATTTATATTAATGACTTGCCAATATGCATCAATAAATTTGCCAATGTTTTTCTCTTTGCAGAAGACACCAGTATTTTGGTCACTGGAAAAAATCACGGTGCGCTTAAGCACAAAGTTGTGGATACCTTGTCTCTCATTGTAAATTGGTTTATAGCAAACAAGTTGGTCTTAAATATTAACAAAACTAATATTATTAATTTTGCTCCTAAACAGTTTGCTAACTCTTTGCTGGCAGTATCCTTTGGAAACATAAAAAATGAAGTCCCTGTGATAAATTTTTTTGGGTATACAAATTGGTAATAAATCAAATTGGAAGAGTCACGTGGAATACGTCCTTCCTAAGCTCAGTTCTGCTATTTTTGTAATTACGAGTTTATCTTATTTTATGAATTTCAAAACCCTGTGAATGGTGTATTTTTCTTACTTTCATTCTATCATTAAGTGTAGAATAGTCCTCTGTTGGAATTCAACTAATAATTCTAAAATTTTTAAATTACAAAAGAAAGTAATAAGGACCATACTGGGAGTGGGGCCCAGAGACTCATGTAGAAGTGTTTTTAAGAAATTAAATAGTTTACCATTGTCATGTGAATATATTTTTTCTTTGATGTTGTTTGTGATAGACAAACTTTAATTGACGCAAGTAAAGAGGTTGGTCTAGAAGTAAACACTGAGAAAACTAAGTATATGTTACTGTCTCGTCACCAAAATGCAGGGTAAAATCATGACATAAAGAGAGGAAACAGATGTTTTGAAAATGTGGCACAGTTCAGATATTTGGGAACGATAACAGATTGACACCTGAGTCAGGAGGAAATTAAGAGGCAATTGAACTCGGGTAATGCTTGCTACCATTTGGTCCAGAACCTTTTTGTCTTCTCGTCTGCTGTCCACAAACATAAAAATTAGAATACAAAACAATAATTTTGCAGTTGGTTTTGTATGGGTGTGAAACTTGGTCTCTGACATTAAGGGAGGAACATAGACTGAGGGTATTTGAGAACAGGGTGTTGAGGAGAATATTTGGACAAAAGAGGGATGAAGTGACAGGAGGTTGGAGAAAACTGCATAATGAGGAGCTTCATAACTTGTACTCTTCTCCAAGTATAATTAGAATGATCAAGTCAAGGAGGATGAGGTGGGCAGGGCATGTAGAACGAATGGGGGAGAAAAGGAATGCATATAGGATATTGGTGGGAAAGCCAGAAAGAAAGAGACCACTGGGAAGATCAAGGCATAGGTGGGTGGACAATATTAAAATGGATCTTAGAGAGATAGGATGGGATGGTATGGATTGGATTGGTCTGGCTCAGGATAGGGACCAGTGGAGGGCTTTTGTGAATATGGTAATGAACCTTCAGGTCCCATAAAATGCTGGGAAATTCTTACGTAGCTGCAGAATTGGCCGCTCCTCAAGAAGGGCTCAGCTCCATAAGTAAGTTGTTTGTGATAGATAATCAAAATAATTTCTGTTCAGGTTCAGAGGTTCATGGCCTGAACACTAGAAGCAAAAATGAAATTTATATTCCAACTTCAAATATTTCTGTTTTCCAGATGGGCACTATGTTTACTGTATTAGGTTATTTAATAGATTGCCAAAGACCATTCAAAGTCTTAAGGCGCATCCACATCAGTCGTGCTTGGGCTTGTTGGGAGCCCCGTCTGGCTTTTACTTGTGCTAGTAAATCCTCGTCCACACTTCTTCAGTTGCTCGCCAGGCTTTGGCGTGTGAGGATCCGTATATTTACTCATTGTGTGTATAGGCTGTAGTCATATTTTAATATATTGGCTATAGTTCTTAAATTAAAAATTTTAAATTTGCTTGTCTCATGACTTGTCATATCGTCCACATTACTCACAAGCATAGTGAGTCACACGAGCACAAGTAATGTGGATGCACTTTTAGAAAGGATAGAATCAGTTTTAAAAATAATTTTGTATTTCAGCATCCTGTTGCATGTATTTAATTAAATGTCTAAACACTAAATGGTGAATATTTTAATAATTGTTGCATTATTGACGGACTGCAATACAGAGACATTTATTTAAAAAAATTTATTTTCATATCTCATGAATAACTCATTTTATATAGTTGATGAATTTTTGGAGCATACAGTAAATAATTATTTAATTAAATGTCTAAACACTAAATGGTGAATATTTTAATAATTGTTGCATTATTGACGGACTGCAATACAGAGACATTTATTTAAAAAAATTTATTTTCATATCTCATGAATAACTCATTTTATATAGTTGATGAATTTTTGGAGCATACAGTAAATAATTAGTTGCAGTGTTTGTTTAGCTTTGTATTGTCTTTCTGCTTTGTTTGTTTGTTTGTTTGTGTTATGCTTGTGACCAGTTTCATGTCCATTGTATTTTGGTCTTGTGAAATGTAAAATATATGTATGTATGTATAGTCTATTTTCTCTTGTGGTGGTGAAGTAATTCAAATACATTTCCTGGGGAAAAAGGGAGCCATCCTTCTCAGCTTGTGGTGAATTTTTATTTTAATGTAAGGTTGTGGTATAGTTTGTATGGCTGTACATCTGCTGTTGGAATTTAAGTGGATGTATCCCTGTATTATTACTGCTATACACATTTTTTATTTGTAAATATGTTACATAACAAATATTTTAATATCCTTTTCTGGCAGCTTACTTGTGTAGTGGCATCATGAGATTTTACATTTAAATGAATTTCTTTGATTCACTGCAATTTGATTAGAATGTTAACTTCATAATTACTTGAATTTATCACTTGTTTCTTCAAGTTTCCTGACATCATATACACATTCTAAAGCATTAAATACAAATATAAAGAGGCCCTCTGGGTATTCAGCTTTGGAAAAGGAACACTAGCTGCAGTTTGTATGCCTCAGATGACATAAGAAAGACAGTTGCTTTCCAGAACCTAACAGGATCCAATAAAATCTGAAGCCAAATAATCTCAACCAGCACGAAATCCAAATCTGATATATCTGGACTGTAACTATATGTCAAACTGAATGTCTGCCAGAATAAACATGGTCAGAACAGAATTATAACAAACCAAAACAATAAGACTTCAAGTTCTCATGACAGTGACTGTGTATAAATCACTGTATTTATGGATGTGACACCATGCAATTTGATAGAATGGTACCAACATTTGGAGGAGCCTCCTGACTTTGTCCTACCCTGTGGATGGAGGCAGAAGACTCCTGCAAAGTGATGTCTAACATAATGTGTGGTGCCATCCTGAATACGGTAATCTTTAAACCACAACGAATACCATTAAGTGAAAAGGTAACATTATCCCTGGATTTAATTAATTAAGCACCATGCCATGAATATGTATGGGGAAGTTGAGGTATAGTGCCACCATTCTTAACCTTTGCACTAGAAGGATACGAGTCACTAGTTGCACATCCCTGCCACTTAACCCCAGGGGAAACACCTGGTTCCCATTGGATAGGAGACTGGATGGGCCCCAGAGCCAGGCTGGACATTATGGAGAAGAGAAAAATCTCTTCCTCCTATCAGGAATTAAACTCTGTCTCCTTGGTTGTCCAGAATATGAACTGACCAGGATTAAATCCAAACAAAAATAACCAGAACTGGTGAGTTTGAACTAGAGCTAAATAATGGAATGGAACTGAAAGGAGTATGGAATATGTCCTAATATAATCAGAACCAAAAAGGTCAGTATGATCTGATTGATTCTACATGGATATCTATAGGAGTATATGAGTTTATTCACAGGGTTCAATTTTTGTTCCACAGGTGGTACCAGTAGTATGTGTGTATTGCAATAACATGAATGTCTTAAAACTATTTCCATGCATTGGGTGATTATAAATTTTGTCACTGGGTTGGTTTGATCATTCCCCCCCTTCCCCACTTCCTCTATACATGCCTATACATGCATTTCAGTAATTTTATTGTACATTTTCCTATTATCTGCATTGCATTGCATTGCATGTAGTTGTAGTTATACTAACATAAGCTGTCCAGTGATTTTGGTTAGTTCTTTCCAATGGACCCCACAGAGCATGTGCCTCCTATACTTTCACCCACATTCCTTAGAATGCTGGATGATGGACAAGGCCAAAAAACATATTTCCTTGTGTTACACACCATCCCCAGAAAACTTCAATCTACCCCTATACCATGTTTTCATGATACACAAGTTAAAAAAAAAAGGTAAAGTTGTCCCTGTGCTCAATGAATAAGCACTATGCCATGAAGGCGTATGGGGCAGTGGATATTTTGACCTTGGCACTAGCTGGAGGTGAGTGGGTGAGTGGTGAGCTTCATGACCCTGCCGCTTTACCCCCCCCCCTCCAAGACCCATTGGATAGGAGGTTGGGTGGACCCCAGAGCAAGTGTGGACGATTTGGAGAAAATTCTTGACCCTACCAGAACTTGAACTCTGACCCCTCAGTCATCCAGCCCATAGCCAGTCGCTATACCGGCTGAGCTACCCCAGCTCCTGTGAAAACGAGAACCATGTTCCCCCCTGAAAGGTAGCATCCATCAGAAATTTATCCAGAAGCAGGGGTATATAAATTATGTCAGTTAATATATTAACTTCACAGATTTCCACATATTCAAAATGGTAAGAACTTATATAAATTGCCAACTAAGAATATTTCTAAAAATTCAATTCAACAATCATAACATTCTAAGTCTGCAATTCAAAATATTTAATTCTATTTTGACCATAAACTTTTACAATGTAAGTGAATACGATACATTGTTCATGCATGCCTTGATGCAAGCAAATGAAATTAATATTCTCTGATGTATTAAAAATATTCAAATGCAACAAAGTAGGGGTAAACATGCCAAAATTAACCTGTTCTATATACTAAGCTAAGCATAAAACTCACCTTTTCCCAGTCCTGTTTTTTGGGTTTTGCAAATGGAGAAGGGAAACAATAATGAAGTATTTTACCTATACCAAATAATAGTTGCATTTAGTATAAATATCCTTCATATTCAGAATGAATAAGTTCTAAGTTTTAGTTTTCACTTGAGGATTGAAGAACTGGTGAACACTAAATGGCTGTCATTTGCTATGTAATAATACCAAAACAGTAAATGGCTCAAAACACAACAAATATTAACACATAAGAAAAGCTCATAAATTAAAATACTGTGTTGCACATAAAGAATGCTAAAAATTTAACTCAAAGCCCTGTGAGTAGTATTACATTTGCTTTCAAAGTTAAAGATTGATTTTTGTGCCAGAAAACTTGAATAGCTACTTTTGTCAGCATGGCACACTGTTTCTAAATGTCTGATACATTGACCCACTTTCATTAAACTATAAGGGAATTCAACATATCACTCTCTGTTTCATACAAAACGAGTTTAAAATATTTTTCTTCATATTTCTGTAAGATTAAATCTGTCCATACTGCAATATATGTGTCTATCGTTTTAGTGCTTTTACATTCTCTTATGACTACCTCCTTATATATCATAAACATGCTGAACAGTTTCTGCTGTTAATTCAGTGACATTGTGCAACTTACTACTGAAACCATCCATACAACTCATATATAACATATATTAATAGCAGCTGCAGACACGAAGAAAATTACACGTGGCAACTTGAAATAAATAAATAACCACTACACACTTCTACTTTAACATGAAGGGACATTAATGAATTTACAATGAGGACAAAACTACTGGAAAAGGGAAACAGCAACATACCTGCTCCAAACCACCAGAATTTCCAATGTCACACAGATGATTGTTCATGAGATGTTTAGGTGTCTCAGAAGTATCACGCGCAAACATGAGTGAAGCAAACAGAGGCATGTTATCAGATCCACTACTGTGTCCTTGATAGAGTTCCATAGCACACTGTAACATGTGGAGTTTCACAGCTTCTACCACATGAAGGTCTAATGTAGGATCAGAATTGAGCAATGTGGCCAAAGTTTCTTCTCGATCTCCATTTGTTGAAGATAAGAGGGATGCCTGAACATAGAATATGAAAGGTTTGTAATGCTACAAAAGTCAGCCAGTAATCAATTTTATACATCTCTAATGCACTCTTACCACATTATCCAAGTTCTGAAGACAAACTGCCATCCCATGCAGAACATTGTTACCATGATATGGCAGGCGACCAGCAAATGTCCAGTCTTGCAACCATCTACAGTCCTCATTGCTGATGGCATTTGACAGATAGTGGAAAGTTTTTTCACCACTGGGAACATTAAGTCCCTGAGCCAAGGTCTGAAAGATGGCAGCACGCACACCACAATAGTTGTCCCCTCGGATCCGGCGTAAATGTTGGAGACCAAACAGTGAAGGAATCTTTGAATAGCCCTGTATTACAAAGAAAAAGATGAAGAAAATAATTTACTTCTTATTCATAAACTTCATCAAACATACATATAACTTAAATGATAACTTTGTAAACTGTTTCTTTCTGATGAAACTTCAGGAAGAACAGATTTCTTTGAAAGGACTCAAAACAAAACCATGAAAATCCTCAATGACTTCGAAGAACATGAAGATCCCTGAGTGATTAAAATAGGACTATAACAGGATTGGGTCATATACTTTTCACATCCTTTTAGATGATGATAATCGTTGCCTTTTCAATATCTTTCAACTCATGGCTACTTAAATATGTATCACACATCATTATGAAATCTACAAGTCAATTAATAGCCATCAGTTTTAAACATTTTTAACTACAAAGAATTGGGACAACTTAGGTGTTGAACATTATCCATTGTCTGGCACTCCAAAGCAGTTTCTCGACTTCTGGGGCTGTGACCCGGTACCTCATCCTATAAAAAAATTACTGGGCCGTGGTCTGACAAAGGTTCAGAACCACTGCTTTAAAGGACACAGTATTTTGGAAACTGGCTCCTTTCTCCATCCTTGCATGAAAGGGTGGGAGACACGTACTCTGTTGGATTCGTTAGGAAGAACTAACCTAAGTGATTCACATTTCAAAATGTTGTGCTCTTGAAAATACCAGCTGATGAACTAAGTCCAAGAATTCAGTAATTTCAAGTGTTACACATAACCATCAGAGCCCCTTATGACTGAGTTACACAGAGATGACTTAAACCAATTTTCTCTAGGAGTAGAGGGTATCTGTGAAACAAATTGAAAATGCAACAAAACTGCAAAACTAGAATTTGATCCTAACACTGAAACTGAATCCTATAAAATAAATAATGCAAAACTGTGTCTGTGTGACAGCATATTCCAGCATACACTGACATCACTGAAGTTGAAGACATAAGTAAACACAAGTTTTGAGTCAAAGAATATTGAAAGGGGATTCACTGAATTTCATAAATATGACTTCCTTTACATAATTTAATATATTTTCATAGGAAATGTAAGGTTCTGCTTCCCACTGCAGTGGCCTGGGTTCGATCCCGGGTCTGGTCAAGTGGGATTTGTGGTGGACAAAGTGGTGCTGGAGCAGGTTTTCTCCAAGTACTTCGGTTTCCCCTGCCAATCTTCATTCCACCAATTGATCCACAATCACCCTCACCTATAATCTGGGGCTAGTACAATAGGCCAGAAGTGGCCGCAGTACAAGGGACTTAGTCCCACCCCACTAGCAATAAAAAAAAGTATCAAGATTATGGGCTTCTGGGATGTGAGGCCTTGTAGTTTTGTAGATGGCTGCCATACTTCAAATGAACTTACTGCTTCCGCCTTGAGGGGCAGAAGAGTCTTCTATCCTGAATACAAAGGCAGCATATTCCTCCGAAATGCTGTAACCCATCCACTAAATACAAGACATCACATGCTAGAAGAAGGTGACACTCCCATAACCGCACATTTCTTGTCACATTGCATTATGATAATGTAATGTAATTCATACTTTTATGAAGTTTATGAGAATTGTTAATGCAACAGTTGTAACCGCACCATGCAGGAACATCAACAATGTTGTTGATTTACATTCTTAATTACAATGTACTACATTTAAATGAACTGTATTACTGATAACAAGATGATACAGAATTGACTACAGCACCAGCAGACGCCAAGGACAACATCTGGTCTTTCTGAGGGACAAGCAAGCTGCAGGTCACTTGAAAACCCAGAATGGAGCAGGAAGTATCCCGCTGTGTTTTCTGGGGATTTCAATGCTTAACTTCGACGGTTCG